TGACCTCCCACTAAGCATCGTGGTCTCGCCGCCATGTTCGTCCTTTTCTCAGTGCCGTATCACAACGGACGTGTCTTTTAAGACATCTTCAAGTTTTTCGAGTTCCATTTTCGCTATATGGTTGTGTGTTGACTTTAATCATCCATTCATCGTTTCTGAATAAACCTTTACCTTGTGTGATTTTATTCTTGTTAGTAAGAGTATTTTTTCATTGCTTTTTGGTGCCCTTTTCTCTCTTTTTGTTGCCCTTTTCTCTCTTTTTGTTTGTGTGCATTCTGCAGGTGTTTACCGTCAGTGTTACAAGGAACGGTCAACCCTACACTCCCCACAGGCCAGGCCGCTTGAGTGGGCGCATTCACACTTTAATAGCAGCCCATATAATCCACACAATCCTAGCTGCATGAGAGGGCGGATTGTAATTTCAGCAGTTCTTCCCTTGTAACTGCTTGAGTGGGTGTTCCCTTATTTAAGCAGCCATTGTGGATTATGGCCTAACCACTTCAGTGGACGACTCTTGATAAGAGGTAGGACGGGGACAAGGCCTAGCTGCATGGGTGCTTCACCCATGTATGTGGCTCTCATGAGGATATAGGCCTTAGCCGCGAGCAGAGGGGTCTCTAACGGGATGTGCCTCCTGCTCAACACTCATGCACAGGAGCCTACTGATACGGCTAGATCGAGCCCACATTGTTTGCATGAGCTCTGATCTCTTATGGAATGAGGGCAAGGCCAAGCCGCACGAGTTGGTGCTCCGTTTCCTAAGCGGCTCAGACGAGGACTCCAGCCTTAACCACAATGCTAAATTCCGCAGTAGTCAGATTCCCAATCCCCTGGTGATTTCTGACTTATAAAAATTCTATTTCTCTGCCCTCCACAGACTGTCTAGTCAACTGAGCCAGCACCTCCACCGACCATCGAAGACCCAACGAGTCGGCTTATAGAAGGCCTATGGCTCACAAAAGCCAGTGGACCAACAGGGCTCCTCTTCCCACACCACCGCAACGGCTACCAGCCGCCATACCTCTGCTACACGCAAGGCCGAATCCTCGGTAGTGCCAACCGACCCGACACCTAGTCGGCCTCATACCGACAACATCAGGACGGGATCCCCGTGCTCCACCATGTCAGGCCCACCTGATGACTCCTCAGCCCATGGTGCCGGGACACCCAACAAGAACCCACCGGGCACCGCGGAGCCTACCGGGCCATGGCTTCAGACCTCCACAACACTTCCGTGGCTCTGGCTCCCAGCTTGGTATCCCCGGAAATCCAGGACCTTCCTCGGCTGGCCCTTCGCTACAAGAAGACGGCGTCTGTACCAGCCAAGCTCCTGCCTGCCCCCCAGGGTATCAACCTCTGACCTTACCCACTGCGTCGGCTGCTGATTCACCCCTGTGTTCCAGACCAGAGGGCTAGCATTCTTCTTCTCCTTCAACGGTTGCCTTGAAGGCCAAGAAGAACAATGGATGACAGCGTTCCAGTCTATCATGGAATCTCTGTCCTCCCTAGTCCACTGCCTGAGCAACAGACCCGCACGCGGCTGTCACTGCCCTGGACCCGGACTTTTTGCTCTCAGCTCCTGCAGCCTCAACCCGCTCTGCAGTCACGGACGACTACTCGCAGCGTGCAACTTATTGAAGCTTGACCCAAGAGGGCTTGTCTTTCCCGGAACATTCTGTCATGTACGGGAGCACCCACGGGTCTGACCCTGGCATGACTGCACCTCACTACGAGTAGCAGACACCATCGTCAAGAGAAGACAACACCGACTCGGTGGGCGACCTCACCCCCTCTGAGGGCTGGCTTCGTCTCCTTCAACGTGATACGATCCAAGTCCTCGGCCTTCCAGCTCCCTCTCCCCCAAAAGGGACACCAGTAATGTCTCCTTGAAATGCCACGCGACCAGACTGGAATCTTTGAGTCCAACTTTCCTAGAGATTCCACTTGACTGCTCTTGCATCGAGATATTCGATTCAATCAGCAAGGCCGCATGCTGGCGCCCTTATCCTTGTAAGGCCCTGACTTACTACCACTTCCCAAGCGAGGACCACGATAACTTCCTATCAGTACCGGAAATTCCCAACGTAGCTAGGGACAAAATCACCACTGACTCGGGCAAGCCTCCCCTGAAGTTGATCTTCCATGATGGTGACAAGTCTCGCCTCGAGACAGCCCAGGTTAAACTGGACAAGGCTTCTCGCCTCAGTCTACGCTGTTCGGCCTTTGTCCTTTTCCTCTCAGAAAACATCGCATGCGGCTGCGAGAGGAACTTGCCAGTGTCCCAAAATTTTGCGGCCCTGGTGCTTTGGGGCCTTGGCGAGGGCCTGGCCCTCACCTTCGAGCTATTCACGCAGATTTCCTGCCTGGTTTCCTCTACCCGCAGAGCCAGTGCCTCAGAGGTGATGCATATTCCTCATGAAGGCGTAAAATCTAGACTCTAAGATCTCCGACTTTCGCTCCCACCTTCTGGCAAGGATCTCTTCACACGTGGGAAATTTGCATATGTACTGACTGTTTGGGTAGGTATTCTCTAGTAGACCCGACCCACACAGTTAATGTGGGGAGGATTTTATTTGGCAGAAAAAAATGAACTAAAAAGTCCTCCAACTCTTCTTGGTTATTGCTCAGATAAGGCAACCAAGTCGGCCCGCCATGAGTAAAGGTAAAATACTGCCCAAATAAGCAACTAAGCAAGGGGCAGCTGCTTAACCAAACTTCGGCGAAACACTCGTCCACATACATGTATCTGAAGCATCGGATTCATACACGTGAGTTGGGGTCGCCAGCTTTAACATCACGCTGCCAGCACCGGTGCAGTGGGCCGACAACTCAACTTGCTACACTCTTCCTTTGCGGACGTCTCAGAAATTTTAACGGAGATTCATCCAGTAGCAAAATTGTTACGCGCAGTGTGGAGACCAATTGAAACAGTCATTATATACATGTGGCCATTACCAGTGCCAGCCCAATTGCTCCATGTAATTCAACCATGTTGACTCATTTATAGACAAACAAATAATCCTTTTGGAAAATTTGAATTGTCATTGAAAATACTTTATAAAATGTGTCGTAGTGGAATTTGGGGGAGGAGGGAACATTTCAAAACAAAAGTAGACGGGGGTTGCCAGAATGGAAAATTTCGGAGGGGTATGGAAACGGTATTGGGATAAAAAACAGAATCGTCTGCTGCCCCAAGCGAAAAGCAGCATAAAATATTTGCCTTCTGTAAAACGGTAGACCTGTTGGTTTGTTGCATACATCTGTAATCATACTTATCCGATTCAAAACTGTGCAGGAATTCAAGACCCGGTGAGTATCACGTTCGCACAATCATTGTTCGTGATTTCTGTTGTGTTCCTTAGTTGTGTGCCTGCCGTTCGCGTTGTGCATGTTTCGCAAAGTCTTCGCAGATCGTTCACGTATCTTCGCAAACGGAGCTTCGGAAACTGTGGTTGTAGACTCTTCCCATTGATGGCTGCCGAATATTTGCGAGTCGGTAGCTATCTTCGCGGAGGAAATAGACTTCCCACGAAAGTAATTTTTAAAGAAAAGCGCCCCCGTTCCCAAATAATTATTCATGTTAAATTCTTTGCGCATAGTGAAAATATTTTTGATCAGTAGGGTAGGTATGCTAGAGGTCAAGGGGGTTGTGTATAAAGGTCACTGGCATTGAAGAACAATGTAACACTCTCTTACTGTTTTTACATACCGTATCATAATCCCAAAAAAGCAGACTACATAACCACACAACACATCATTCGAAGTTTCGTTAGGTACAGTAGATCAACACACATTGAAGATGTGTTAGCCCGCCACAGCGTGTAGCACTTTACGTGTAATGCAAGTAATATGGACTCATTTACCCCTTAACGCTGGGATTCTTTTGACCGCAACTGCGGGGCTGCAGTATGCCCAGTATGCAAAGCCCTGTCCAGCAGCAGGTCCACATTGAAACCACAGGTGAATGATGAATAGAATGTATGTGTGGTATGCTCGAATCCTCACACAAAGCTGTAACCGTCTACTGGCGTTAACCCCTTCATACCTGGGTTGTGTGGGGATTAGTGCATACCACACAAACAGTCTATTCACCATGCACCTGCAGTTTCAATGTGGGCCTGCTGCTGGACAGAGCTTTGCGCACTGGGCATACCACAGCCCAGCAGTCACGGTCAAAAGAATCCCGGCTTGAAGGGGTTAAGGGTATTCAAAGGGCGTGCTTCATGTTGCATGATGGTGTTTCATATCGAACAGCCCCACACATCCTTGGTAGGAGTCTATATTTTGACATGAACTTAGCTGGTTCCTAACGAAATACAAATTCCTGCACTACTGTCATGTTACCAGTGAGGCTGATGTCACAGTTATAATGCGTATAACATACATGTACATGTACTCGCATGCAGGCATTTGGCTAGTGATCGCTTTACGCTGATACCAGTACATTATGGACATGTATGTTTGGTGAGAACAAATAAAGATGACTCCACAAAAGTATTTACTATGATCCCTGTACACAGGTATAAAAATATTTGTTAACAGAAAATGTCAACAAATGCTTCTCTATTGGGAATTAATATAGAACTCCTAATTTACGTATGTTTTCTGTATACAGAGGACAAAAGAATTTAGTGTATTTACAGACATTAGTTTGTTTCCAAGTGCTTTTCCATGCCCATTACCATTTTATTAAGATTTAAGACATAACCTTCCCAACTCAAAAGAAAATACTTGAAGTTTTAACAAAAAATACCTCCCTATTGTAATCCAAATCTTGTCATGCCAATTCAATCTCTTTTGGGGTGGTGCTCTGGATAGAAATCCTTACTAATAATTACCAAATAAATTGTATTCACATTTCTATTAAAGGTGGCACAAGTCAGAAACAAAAGTTTAAAATCATTACTGTTTGTGTTTAATTCCAAGCACTGGTTGAGAGGTTTTTCACAGGCCATGAAAGTTCAAAGAATTGTCCTGATTTACCATACCACATATCATAGATAAAACAAGCCAATTTCTGGGGTAGTAACTTTGTGCTGAGTGGTTCGGATTGTGGCCACATCTTCATTTGGGATCAACACACTGCTGAGCTTGTCATGCTACTAGAAGGTGACAGACATGTAGTCAATTGTGTCCAGCCACACCCTTTTGATCACTGTGAGTAGACTACAGTTAGGTGTACTGATATATTTTCTTTTCTATTAACCACTACCTGCCGGGGACTCCGAAATTCCAGCCGTATGGTTTATATGTGTGGCCGGGGTCTCCGAACTCGTACAAAGTAAACAGGGCCCTGTAACAAAAGACCGTACTGCGAACAAAAGACCAGGCTGCTGGGCATTACCAGCATTTTTCACTCTCAAAAGTGGTGATAATCCAGCGTTGTTTTGAAACCGTATGCCAGGGTTTGGGGCATTGAGAGCAAGCGGACTACCACCGGGGACAAAAGCTCTCCACCACCGCAGCGATGAGCCACACAGCACCACTGCATGCTAATCTGGCCCCTATTGAAAAGAGGTCAGCAGTGCACTATTAAAGCCAGGTTCGTGAACAAAAGACAGTTGTATAACACCGCACAATCTGGGCTCTGTTTACAAGGCTGCAGGCGTGGCTGAAATATTCGGGCGTCAATGAAGGTCACCTGTCAACTTAGAGTAGTGCCTAAATATTACTCTGTGCAGCTATAAACGACTGTTAAATGGAATGATGAATTATTGAAGGATTTGAAAATGGAAAAAAGGATAGTCATGCCGGCCCAAAATCATCAACGTTGAAAAATGCCCCGGCACGAAGTGGTTAAAGATGTGACTGTTCTCATGAGCTTTGATTCAAAGAATCAAAAGACTTTAAGTTAGCTATATCTATAACCTTTGCAGCATTTATTATGGCTTCAGACACCATTGTTATCACACTTCGGCATAGATTACCGTTCTAGTCAGAATATTAAACTTCCTTGGCAAGCTATGTGAAATGTTGCCTTTATAATTTTGTCAGGGTTGGCTACTAGTGGTATTGACTATGATGTTAAGCTATGGTCTCCAACAGCAGAGATGGCCAGCGTACCTGATGATGCAGCAGAGGTGAGGAAACAGTCATGAGTAATCGTCATCAGGGAAAGTCTTGAACCCAAGAATGTAGCAAGTAAAATCAGACAGATCCCTCTACTAAGTTGGTTACTTGCCAGCGATATCTTCAGTCTGACATCTCTTTTTTGTCTCATGTTGTGCATACGAGCACGCCATTGTACACCAACAGAATAATCAGATGGGCTTACATGTTTGTTTTTTAATTGTTTAATTTCAGGTGATGAGAATTAATGAACTAATGCTTGATGAGACTCGGGATACTATAACAGTGCCACCATCGTTCATGCTACGCATGCTTGCCTCCCTCAATCATCTCAGAGAAGGTATATCTACCTAGATATATGGTCATAGCAATTACTTTTTTGAGCAAAAGTTTACATATACTTGGACTGAAGGTATTTAATTACAGTTTTTAAGACCGCCAATAAAGACTGTTAAGACCCCCAATAAAGACTCTGGCAACACATCCATTTTATTTACAGGAACTGAAAATAAATTTGTAACTACATAAGCTGATTGATTTGCCATTGAAGAGGAATGTTTACCAAGAATAAATAGTCTTAAAACTTCTAATTAAATGTTTATATTCTAACTGTGTGTAAACTTCTGAACATAAATGTATTGGATGTCCCCAAAAAGGTTGGTCACAAAGTGGAAAGGGGCTAAGATATGTACATAATGGGTCATTGCAAACGAATTCAACATGATTTTTTCACCCAAGCCTCACAGGTTGGAAGGGTACTTGTGTCATGATAAGCCTGTATGAGAAACCTTCATGACTGCTTTCTTTAATTTCACTTAAAATTTTTTTAAATTTGGGTCCTCAAACTTCTGAATTACCTCTGAACTCTACACACTTCCATTTCATGAATTATTGGACCCACAAAACCAAGTTTAGTATTGTTTTCAAGCTCTTTGATTGACCTTCATTTCATAAATAAGACCTAAATCATAACATGAAGGGCAGAGAAAGTGCATAGCAAAATGACCCTTGACTTTAAATTACAAATAAGTGTAGTTCAAATTTCGTTAACTTTTTCCAAAAGTTGGTTTTACCATTAGTATTTATGTTGGGAAATTTCTTCATTGGGCCTCCGTAAGTTTTCAAGTTGAGATTTGTTGAAGATGTCTTTTGCATGGAAAAACACACACATTATGGTTATAGTATAAATTACGACTATTGAGCTTCAGTATCTTGGATGCATTTCCCTGGTCAAGCTTCACTGAAATGCATGTATGTAATTAATGACAGAATCCAAAAAAGTCATGTTGTCAAAGCCGGAGTGTAAAAGCAGTTTTGTTTCATTTAACATAGAACGTAGACGGTCCCGAGAATCACCATCTAGCAGTGACAGTACAGAAGATGAAAGCTGAAATCACCATCTAGCAGTGACAGTGCAGATGACGATAGCTGAATCACCATCTAGAAGTAACAGCACAGATGATGATAGCAGAATCGCCATCTTGCAGCGACAGTACCAATGATGATAGCTGAAATCACCATCTTGCAGTGACAGTACTGATGATGATAGCAGAATCGCTATCTTGCAGTGATAGTACCAATGAAGATAGCTGAAGTCACCATCTTGCATTGACAGTACTGATGATGATAGCTGAAATCACCATCTTGCAGTGACAGTACAGATGATGATAGCTGAAATCACCATCTAGAAGTAACAGCATAGATGATGATAACAGAATCACCATCTTGCAGTGACAATACTGATGATGATAGCTGAAATAACCATCTTGCAGTGACAGTACAGATGATGATAGCAGAATCACCATCTTGCAGTGTGATCCTTTCATTTGTGCCCTTTCCTGTGAGTGCTCACTTTAGTGCTGGTGCTTACCACGTGGCCCAGAGTTTGCATATGGACTCTTATCGTTACTTGAAATGGAGACATCTTGGGACAAGAAAAGTATGAGAGGACATACCACAGAGATTTTAGAGTCAAGGGGAAAACCAGGTATCTTCCATTATGGGCTACAAGTGAGGAAAAGAGCAACAGTATGTTAAGTGCATGATTTCAAAGGCCCCAAACAGAAAAAAAAATCATTCATAATAGTTATATGCATACTTGTACATTGGTGTTAGGAAACCTGGATCACCTGTGACTGTTTATTATTGGTACTAAAACAAGTTCAAACCTTTCTTAGGAATGTTCATAATCTTTATGCGAATTTCACTAAACACATTCAAATGATATCCTGTTTTTAAAATGTGTACAGCTCATGCAGTGTAATTAACATTAGAACTAATGTTTGTCTGGAAATGAGCAAATTTACATTTTTTCACAGCTTTCTGAAACAGGTGCGTTGTGCAATATAAAGTGGGCATTGTGAGTACTGGTGCATTGAAGAAAGGTTTGCTTAAGCAACCTTGCTGTTGCTGCCATACATGTATGTGTAAACTTCTAAAAGCACTTTCTTAGGTGTTTTGCAGTGTTGAAGTAGTTACATGTATTTAAAAATAATGTAAAGCAGGATAAGTTGTGTGCAAAATATGTAGTGAGTTTCACAGTGTTGTGCTCAACAAGAGTCAAGATTATACACAAGATTTTCTGTGCCACTGACAAGTTGGACTCATGTCTTACCCACACGTACATGGAGCAACTTGGGTGAAGTTTAAATTTATCAGTGGTTCTTGCTAGGTATGTTATGCATTCACCCTGTCACTATTGTTATTATCACTAGTATTTTAACGTGAAGGAATGGTTTGACTTCTTGTAAATTTTGTTAGGTCTGTTGATATATTGTAACTTGATTATTCGATATTACATGTACTTTGATTTATCGATACCAAATTTTTAATGGTAGTAATGGATAAAAAATATTTATTGGAAATGATACCAGGCATTCAAAAGGGGATTCTGTCGAGAAAATTAATCTCCAGTTTGTGTTTTTACATGTACATGCATGTGGTTGTTGCATTGAATGGCAAGCAGGTGACACCTCGCGCAATCCTCGAAAGAAACTGGCCCAACAGTTTATTCAGGAAGCATAAACCCTTTTGCTCTTTTTGGTAGAATAAAAGTTTTAGTAGAATAAAAGTTTTTGCTCCAGAGAAATCCTTGCAAATAATTGGGAAAAGATATGGAGAAAGCACTGGCAACATTTATAAGTGTTATGGCATTTATGTGTACTTCTACATGTATTTTTGTATTTTCCCGTGGCCTTTTTAAGGAGAATTTTCAGTATAGTTACGGATACTGAAGGTCATCACCTTCATTTCATGGGATATGCTCCCAAAGGTCAACATCAAAGCCACCCATTTATTCCTACCTACCAGCACTGCTTATTGCAGCCACTTACAAAGGATTTGGCAGTGCCGTTTGCTTATCATCAGTCTAGTTAACCGCATCAACAGTAACGACCAGTATTAAGATTGGACAGCCAAGCGCCATGTGTTGTTTAGGGGTATGCGTCTCAGTTTACACTTAATCCATGCCACCGTTATCAGTGTCCAGTTTTCTAGTAACGATATGCCTGTCTTGTGAGGGCACAAGCTCATGATCCCCTCTTTTTGTACTGCCTGCAACCTATGCAGATTACCAATACCTATACATTATTTCCTAGTCCATTACTTCCATTCGCTAAATTATCGATCCCCAATAGTGTGCCCCCACTCACTCGCCCCCACGAAGGCATCGGCCATGTTCATCTTCTTTTTCGTAGCACCATTAGGTTATGAAAGGTGTTGTTTCGGCTCTGAACTTTTGGGAGTTTTTCCTTTGCCAACGCGTGTTTCGGTGTTATTCCTTGGTCACCTCATTTATTTGTTCTGACTCTTGAACGGTAAGATTGTTCCTTTTTCATTTTATTTCTGGATATTTTACCATTTTCTTTTCATTCTTGCACAGGTGGCAGACCGACATTGTATTGACTTTTTTTCAGAGTCTCCTGCGTTCACATACCCCTGTCCAGCCTACATATGCAAATTTCCCATGTGCCTATTACAATTCGCTGAAAAGACTTGATTATGCATGCTACCCCCGACCCACCACAATGCAATGCGGTCCCGGCGCCATGTTCGTCCTTCATTTCTCAGCGCCTACAGTGTACTAATGTGTCTTGTATGACTCCTGGAATTTTCGAGTTCCGTACCTTTCGTGCTTTTAAATTAACTTGATTCCTTTTACGAAATGGAGAGTGTTTTCTTCTCCATTGGTAAGAGTGCTTATTTTCTTATTTCGTTTCTTGCATGCTGTGTTTTGTGGTGGTTCTTTTCTGCCCCTTTTTGTTCTGTGCATTATATATAGGTCGGGACCTACCGTGATATGTCATGTGTTATGTGGGTATGGCCGTTAAAGGGTTAGAGGGCCCTTTGCTTACTATGCGGTGCGGTCCCCTGTGGTGCGGTTTTGTATTTTCCAATTAGCAGCCTCGACGAGGACAGGCTGGGCTGAGGCACCCCGGGCCTGGATTGTCGCGATCAGGCGGACTGGAGTACCACGAAACCTGATTGATACCCTCCTTGACTGGAGAGAACCGGAGGACTACAGAGAACCGGAGTACCGCGAAGCCTTTGATCTCTGATGACCACTACCAGCATTGATTGGGCTGAGGGTGCAGTTCCGTAATAAAGCCCTTGAACACTACCCCCCACCTACCCACCACCGATCCAAGCCTGCTGGTCTTCTGCCGTCATCTTCTATGCCCACTCCCGGCACCGTGACCAGCGGCCATGACTGGCTGCCAAGCAGTCCGGGAGTCTGAGGTGGCGGGCCCAGTAGCTCCACCTATTCATCGGGTTGAGCGGATTTTCCGCATCAATGCCTTTTATCACTCTCGTTGGGAGTAATGAGCTGTCCCTTCCTTTTAGGCTGCAGGTTCCGGACATTCCTACCGCATCCCCGGACGGCCCTATCGACCGATGGCTCAGCGGGGCCTGCGGGGCGACAGTCCGCTAATTGCCCCAGGCCCTGTTCGCCGGGCGGCATCCGCTTGGAAGTCGGGCCAGTCATCTCCCTCCAAGCAGACAGCGGGCTCCACAATAGGATCGCCACGCTCCACCGCGTCAGTCAACCCTGCATTCTCTCCAGCCTCCAGCTGCCTCGGATGATGGTGCCCCTTCTGGACTGTTAAGTCGCTGGGGTTTCCTTCCGCCACAGCTCATCCGCAGCTCCAACCCGCTGGTGGATTCCTGTCATGAGCCTACTGATCTTGATCTCGGACATTCTTCGCAAGAAACGACCGACCTTTCGGGGATCCTTGCCCGGCCCTTCCTCTGCCCATGCCGGCCTCCAGTCCCCCTGCTTCGACGAAGTCCAAGAAGTGCAAGGCCAAGTCATCCTCCCAGGCTTCTTCCTTGTCCAAGGCCAAGAATAGACGCCATTCCCACCCAGAGCTTCATCTTATTACTGGTTTCCTCGGGAGGATGTCTCTCGCTTCCTGTCAACCCCAGTTATTCCTGACGCTGCCAGAGACAACATATTGTTTGAGTTCAGCAAGGCAAAAACCTTCCGGGATAAGGACAAAGCTACCCTTCGCCTGTCCCGTAGTGTTGATACGACATCCCGCTTTGGCCTCCGCTGTTCGGCCTTTCTCCGCCTTCTATCAGAGTATATTGCCCGGGCCTGTGAAGAAGACTCTCCGGTCTCTCCAGAATTTTGAACAGTTTACTTGCATTTCCATTTTGGCCACTTCTACCCGCAGATCCAACGCAGTGGACGCCATGGATATCCCCTATGGGTCCATCAAGAATAGGCCTATGGGCCTCCCCCCTCTTGGGGACTATCTCTTTGCTGGGAAGTTCACCAAAGTCCTTTAGTCGGAGGTAAAACGTACGGAGACTGCTAAGAAATCTCACTCCGTGAACCTGCACCTCCACATCGTCAGCCTTCACCACGGCCGAGAAGACGAGCGAAGCAGGCACCACCGGCTGCTCGCCCCTTCAGCCGTCCACTCCGGATGGCTACTCGATCATCGACCCCACAGCGAGCTCCTCCTACATCACCTCCCAGAAGTTTCCAGCCGCGCCCGCCCGGCCTTGGTTCTTCACTCAGGACCGGGGGCACGGCGTCTACTTCCATTTGCCTTTGGCGGCCTCCGCTCCCGAACCTGTCGGCGGCCGCGTGGGTAACTTCATCGGGTACTGGCGGGAAATCACTGCGGACAGCTGGGTCCTCTCCACCATTGCTCATGGCTACTACCTCGAGTTCACGAGCTCCCCGCCGTCTGGGATGGTCTTCCGCTCTACTCCTCCATGCGACAAACTCAAGCGCTTGGCTCTGGTGGAGGAGATTGCAGCGTTGTTATGCAAACGAGCCATCACACCGGTGCATCCAAACCAGCTATCCACCGGCTTCCTTTTGTCCTTTTTCCTCACAACCAAAAAGACCCGGGAAAGTGGCGACCAATAATCAACGTGAAACCGCTCAACAAGTTCTTCAGGCCAAGGTGGTTTCGAATGAAGACTCTGAACGTGGTCCTATCCTCTCTGCCTGTTCCGTGTTGGCCACCGTGATAGATCTAGGGAATGCATATCCTCATATCCCTATACACAAGCAACACTGCAAGTACCTCCGCTTCGAGTACTGCGACAGGACCTTTCAGTTTCAGGCCCTTCCTTTCGGTCTCTCAACAGTCACCAAGGGTTTTCACCATGATCGTCAAGACTATGCCACCTACTTACGACAGTGCGATGTCCTTATTTTTCAATATCTAGACGACGGGTTGATCGTCGGCCACCGCACCGACGAAGCAAGTTCTGCCACTTCTCTCTTACTCGATGTCACGACACGCCTAGGGTTCCTCATCAATTACAACAAGTTGGCCCTTGATCCATCACAACAGCTGACCTACCTGGGGGCAGGTCTCCATCTCCTCAAAGGTGTTGCGACTCCATCACCGGAACACATTCTCAATCTGCAACAATGCGCCCTTTTGTTCCTACGCTCTAAGGCTCTTCCAGCGCTGGCCTGGCTCCGCTTTCTCGAATTTATGGCCAGCCTCGTCGACCTCGTTCCTTGGTGTCGACTGCGGACGTGACCATTTCAACTACATCTCCTGTCTCGGTATTGCCCCAAGAGCGATCCGATTTCTACCTTGGTTCCTCTTCTACCACGTGTTCACAACCACCTCTGATGGTTGACCATTAGCGAGCACCCGTCGGCGAGTACCTGTCATTCCTCCGAAGCCAAATATCATGATGACAACGGATGCGTCGCTATTTGGATGGCGGCCTCCCTTCCTCCGCTTCATGCATCCAGAGTTTGGGACTCTTCCTTCCGTAACAAACACATCAACCTGCTGGAACTTCAGGCAGCGCCCCCACGTTGACTTCTTCACATCGGCCGACAATACCCATCTTCCGACGAGCTTGGGCTACGGATACTCTTAAGATGAATTGGTTCGGCCTTCTGGTGTATATCCTTCATTCCCCGAGTCTTATCCAAGATAGAACAAGAACCATGCCGGATTCTCCTCATCACCCCTTTCTGGCCTCGACAATCGTGGTTCCCAAGACTCTCAAGGCTCCTGGTTCGTCGACCACTGATCCTTCCACACTGGGAAGATATTTTTCCTCAACCCAGGTCAGGAATCCTCCATCCATCCTCCATCTACACTTGACGCGTTGGACATTGTCCATCGTTAGAGTATCAGGCCTTTCTGCGGACGCTGCGTTTATGGCGGCACGGGGCCGACGACTCTCCACACATCAAATTTACAACAGTGGAATACAACATTTTACGAGGTGTGACAACCACGATGTTTCTCTAACCGAAACTTCTGTAAGCTCAGTTGCGGATTTTTTCATGTATCTCTTTCATTTGGGCCTCCAGATTGCTACTATCTGCAACTACCGGTCAGCCCTGGCAACTGTTCGTTCAGGGTTCAATGATGGATCAATAATTTCTGATAACACTGTCATCCACCATCTACTTCGGGGAATGTATGTCGAGCGTCCTTACGTCAAACGCCCTGTACTTTCTTGGGACCTTGGCAACGCCTTGCGCGCTCTTGCCAGTCCCCCCTTCGATCCGCTGTCCGATGCATCTGATCATGGAGATGATCTACAGCCAGGAAGAACGCCAGCTTGATGCTAAGATGGACTTAGCATCAAGCTGGCGTTCTTCCTGGCTGTAGTTACCTCCAGACTGTCAACTGCTGGAGGTCACATACGCTGGGAGCCGCACGAAGTTATCCCAGCCATCGAATTCCTAACAAAGACCCAGACGCCTGTCTTCCGGCCTCTGAACATTTTTGTCCCTGACATAAACTCCGGTTCGTACCCTCAAATGGTATCTCGCGAGGACCATGCGTCGTCGTTAGACTGGTTTTAGACTTTTCGTCACAACCAAAAAACCCTTTCATCCAGTGGCGAAGGACACCATAGCTCGTTGGACGGTCTAGGCCCTCATCTTTGCAAATCAAGACTGGCCGACTCGACATGACGAGACGACTCGATATCACATCAGAGCCCATGATGTTCGGGCCGCCTTTGCGTCCTGGTCGTTCTTCAGATGTGTCTCCTCGGCGGACATTTGCCAGGCGGCTTGTTGGAAATCTCCTTCCACCTTCACCAAGTGCTACCTGAAGGATGTCCTGCGGAGTGAGACGACTCACGGCGCAGCAACCTTACGCTCAGCGATTGGGACATCATCCAGCGCTGTCCCTCACCGAACAAAGAATTCCTCATCGTAGATGCTATTCCTTTGTTCTAGAATAGTGAGCGTTCGCTTGAGTAGCGCCCGCCTATGCTCTCCTGTAATTACTCTCCCGTCGCCAACCCTCCTCCAGGGTACGGTGTTACTCCGCATATGTAGGCTGGACAGGGGTATGTGAACGAAGGAGACTCCTCCCCACATTAGTGTGTCAGGTCTCCTAGTGATACTTACCCCTGTCCAGCCGCTCCCGTACTCTCCCGTCGCCAACCCTCCTCCAGGGTACGGTGTTACTCCGCGTATGTAGGCTGGACAGGGGTATGTGAACGAAG